CTATGGGATGCACCTCATCCGCGGAGCAAACAGAAGCATCAATCTCATTATGCCAATACTGATTGGCAGGTGATCTTAACGTCAGCGTCAGGGAATCCACCCCTATAAGTAGCTTGCGCTACGCCGCATGCGTCATTCAAAATAAGCACCTCTTCTCGCTTCACCATAGCAAGGAGGGCCGTCTGGTGAGACATCTCACTTCATGTTACTCTGAGAACTGGGGTTACGCAAGTAACCTATAGTTCTCATTCATAACACTCCGTTCGATGTCTCACTATGGGATATTGTAGCTCCCGTATTGCCAGACGAGCTTATCTCGAAAATCACCAAACCAACCAGAACTTAACAGGTAGAGCTCTGACTCAAGGGGGTGGATTCCCTGACGCTGACGTCAAGATCACCTGCCAATCAGGATTGGTGTAATGAGATTGATGCTTCTGCTTGCTCCGCGGATGAGGCGCATCCCATAGTGAGACATCGAACGGAGTGTTATGAATGAGAACGTAGTCCGTAACCGGGATGCTTTCAGGAAACTCTTCATTTAGGCCAAATCTCACAAAAAGAATACCTAATAAGTTATATTTAGTAAAATACACCGGTGTGTATGTGTTATAGTGAGGGACACAAAATATAACAAACATAGAATGAAACATATAAAGTATTATCACTGCTCTAATAAACCTATACAAAAAAATGTAAAGGTAGGGAGCAGTTTGTAACTGTACATAAATGTAATAATGATCCGTAATGAAAATTATGTTTCCGCCCGGTTTCGAACCGGGGACCTTTCGCGTGTGAGGCGAACGTGATAACCACTACACTACGGAAACGGCCATATAGACAATTGATGACGTAATGGAATAGATAAATAAAAAATATTACGAACAAGACCACCTACATACCAAGACAGATCAGGTGAAAGATGTACATGACAAGTACATTTAAGTACATAAAACCCACAATAACAACACTATGAGTGGAGTGTAATATGAGTGTAAGACTTGACAAAACCCAAGTCTTGACTCTGTGCTCTAGCACAAGGACAGCAATATAAAAAAATAGAAGGTTGTGAACGTTGTCCAGTATAACAATGATCTAGTTGGAATGTTTCAATTTTAATAGATGTTCACATTTGGCTTACATAAGTTAGACGTGGCTTTAAATAAAAAACCGGGGTGTCAAATTATTTACTCAACCCTTTATTGAAACTCATGCTCGTTAGCTCGATTCCGTTAGCAACATGCTAGATTAGCCCCGAGGAGGACGCAGTTGTGCTTCCTATCTGCCCAGCAATGAGCATCAAAAATATATTATGAAAGTGCTCGCCTCGAAGTTTTGTAAAAGCTGTTGATGACAAGATATTGCTAGTTCTGTTTTGAATTAAACCAAAATGCTACGCATCTAAAACCTTGATTAGTTACATTGACAAAACTAGCATTAACGTTAACCTTAGCTGCTAGCATTTGACACACGTGGCTTTATATTAAAACAGTACATTGTCAAGTGTTAAACTTTGTAAAAGGTAAAATAACATTTAATTTTAATAATTCAATTGAAAAAAAAACCTCTCCGATGTTGTGGCTTCTGTTTTATTCGTTTCGTTAGCATTAATACTTCACTTACCAGAGGAGAAAGGAAGTTTCTCAAGCACCAGCAGTGACGCATCAGAGAAAGTAATGCAATCCTCTACTCGGTAAGTCCCTCTCAATTGTCTCTTCTAGTGGACAAAATTATCATATTATCGTCGTATTTAAAAACGGTGCATGTAACAACACAACGACTAGTTTTATTTTAAAGGAACAAGAAGTCACGTTTACATGCATGGCTGCTAGATTGCAACAGTGACGCGTCCTAAAAGCCGGAAGTAAACTTCTTCCGGTTCCTTCGGGAAAAAAACAATGCAATTTCTCCATAGGATTTTGGAAAATAGCTCGAAATAAGGTCTGTGGTTGACACAAATTGAAGAGACAGATCACATTTTGTTCAGCCGGATAATATTCACATGTCTACCCTACTTTTATAATTTTCGAATCATAAATCCATCGATCACAAATCTATTGATTAGATTTATGATTTGAAAATTATAAAAGTAGGGTAGACATGTGGATATTATCAGGCTGAACAAAACGTGCTTCACTGTGGCACTTTGCCATTATGCGAATAACATGCACATGATCGGGAAATTATTTTGCTTATGTGTGGTAAAGTCAAATTGAAGCGGAGTGAGATATCTCGGTTCAAACGTATCTAAGGTAAGATGTGCAATGAATGATGCTAGTTATGCGTGTACAAACCATGGTACAAACATTCAAACCATGGAAGAATAAAGAGAAACAAATATTGTGAAATGTTTCTCCTGATTAAAAAGCCAAGAAAAAAAGAGATCATCCCAAAACCAGGTAAATGAATGCATGTGTCTGCAATTTTAAACATTTTAATGTAATTGCACACTCAACAGTTTATATGCTGATTTAATATAATAGACCGTTTTTATTGAAATGAATGCATATTCACAATATCTTAATGATATGTAAATATTTCGTTTGGCATTTCTGCAACATGTAAAATTTGGAATCATAAATGTGTGCATTCGAAGAAAAATCACTCTCCATGAAAAAGATCCCTCAGTTAAGAAAATTTGCTAACTCTATTTTACAAGTTCATTAACCCTATACGAATGTGTGAATTTCAACCATTTTGCTGGATTTATGGATTGTTATGCACAGCACTGCCACGAGGTGGAGCCGTGAGACCACAGTGTTAAACACACTGAAGTTATTCCTCTTGCAGGAAATCTGACTGCTAAAGCCAAGTGACTACTCATTTATCATTGTAGGGGGCGGTAACAATACAATTCCGTACATGCAATGTTTGCATGAAACAGAGATTACTGTGAATACAACAACAAATAACCTACAAGCGGTTTACCTGTTTTTACCAATATATTTATAGATTAATTGCCAGAAAAAAACAAGAAATACAGGAAATGGGTGGCACATTAAAGTCCAAAGACCAATGTCTCGTCTTGTTTTGTCTGACCAAAAGTCCAAAACCGAAAGACACTTTATAAGTGTTTATAAATTAATAAAGTACTAGATATAAAAAATAAAGACATTTTTTAAATATATCCGTATTGATTAGCTCTTATTAGGGATCTTTTTAACATGCCTAAAAATGTCTTAAAAGTAAAAAAATAAGTATATTATGCAAATAGAGCCCTTTTTTTCTCTGTATTTTTTGTGTTTGTTTTGCTGGTTGTGTTGGATATAAGTTGAATCATCAGTCACATTCAGTAATGTGACTTTGGATGTCTCATTGATGATGGCTCATCATCTGATTTCTATAAATATAAACCTCACTGGAAAACATGAATATGCAGATGATTTGATCTCTTTGTGTAACAGCTATCAGATTTTTTGAAAATCCATTTCTATATTTTTATTTTACATCTGTATCAGTGCCGACTCAATATTTAATTAAATAAAGAAACTAACCACAATTTGTGTTTTCCTCGGTGGCTACAATGGAGGAAGTTTAGTCCTGTGAGTTTGTTTGTGTTTCTTTTTAACATGTGTTCCTCTTTCCTTGCCTAGCTGAAAGCCCATGAGTGACACAAACAACAGTTGTTACAGATATTGATAGCAGAAAATGGAAATATTCGACTAAAGAAACTTGAAATTGTTCTTCAGTACAGTACTTAAGTAAATGTGCTTAGTTTCCCCCACTCTTGCTATTATTATTCACTTTCAATATCAATAGTAATTCAACAATTGATGAGTGAAAGCTGAAAGTGTTTCCTTTTTCTCTGTGAAGTTAGAGGACTTTCGAAGACGTGTAAAGGGGAACTGACTCGTGATGTGTTGACATTTTGTGCACACACACACACACACACACACACACACACACACACACACACACACACACACACACACACACACACACACACACACACACACACACACACACACACACACACACACACACACACACACACACACACACACACACACACAGTTATATAAGCCTCGTCTGTTGTTTTTTATTGCAGTTGTCAGTGCAGTGATTCTCATCATGGAGGCGAGCTACGTCAGGCATGTGGAGCTATTTGGCTTTGAGAAACGTTCATTCCCGAGTCAGCACTATGTAAGGATCAGAACTATTAACCATTACTTTGCTAAAGTCGCTACTAATCCTTTTAAAATCGACAAAGTTAGAGACATTCTAGCAAAGTTCAGTCTTAAAAAAAGATAATTTTTTGAAATAATAGCTCATTTCATCTGATGTTGGAGCTATTCATTGATTTGTATTATTAAATAGTCAAACGTTTATTTTCTCACAGTTTTTAGTGTATGGTAGTTTCATAATTATTTAGTGTCATTATTTAAATTAATTTGAGAAGTTTATTCTTTTATTTTGAAGCTAGCTTTAGACACCTGGTGAATCGTGATTTCATGGAAGACAGGTTGATGAGGGATGAGGCAACGGAAAAGTCATGTTTTTTTCCTTTTGATAATAGAAAAATAAATCATATAATAAATCATATACCATATAAGAAAATATATAGTAAAAGCTATATTCTTGCATGGACACTGGATGTATCCCTGTGTATCAGCAGTTTCATTTTTGAGTGGTTTGTTTTTGGTTTAGCCGTTACATGTGAGATTATATGTGCAGGTGTACATGCTGATGGTGAAATGGAGTGACCTCTCAGAGAAGCTGATCTACAGAACGTATCCTGAGATTCACACCTTTCACGTAAGATCTTTCTTCACTACAAAATAAAAGCAATGTGGACTTTTGCATTTCAACAAATGAAGTATTAATAAAAAATAAATTAAATTTTTGAATCGGAAATGTTTATGTTTTGGCTGCAGAAGTCCCTGAAGGAGATGTTTCCCATCGAGTCTGGTGAAATAGAAAAGAAGGACAGAATAATTCCGTCATTACCAGGTAAAATAATTATAATGTTTCCTTTTATTTTAGGTCAAAGAGTGCAGATTGATTCTCTTTGCTTTTGGCTTTTTATTTACATTTAAGTTTTGTAGGATTTTATTTAGCCTAGTTTGTATGTTATGACAAGCTGCAGAGTGCAGAGGTTGAACTACATCTGACACATATATATTAACAACATATATAATCACAGACTATTATTAAAAGACAACAAAATTATAATTGTGAAGTAGCTTCAATAGGTATTTTAAGAGTAATTGTAGTTAAAAACCCTCTGCCTGCTATAATCTTCTTTCAGGAAGCACCTGTGGTGTTTAAACAAATATTATGGGCCTATGCACTTCTCCTTTTTTCAAATTGTTGAAGCAACACAGAAAGCTGCAATAGAGCTGAAATCACTGATGTCAAAATGAGGGATTTTTCGTCAGCTTTAAGCTGTCAGTAGAAGTTAATACTGAATTTGTAGCCAGACAAAAGCTCAGACAAAGAGCAAGAGGACTTGTATTAGCCCTGTATGTTGGACAGAATAAAAACACTGATCATTTATCTATTCATACGAGCTTGGAGCTAGAAAAGATTGTCCTGATGGTGACGCAGCATTTAACATAAGTAAAGTACAAAATATAAATAAGACATTTAAACATTAAAACATCTAATAATAGACATAAATAAGTACATGAAGAGTAGAGGGAAGAAGTAAATACTCACATAGTCAAGTAACATTATGGGTATACTTACCTTTATGCATTGAAATCTAAACACTTGAGAATGAAACAAACCAACAAAACAAATTTAAAGAACATTTATCAAATGCACTCCATCGTACTATGCCAGTTCACTTATTTATGCATGTTTACAACCACTGCATGTTATCATAGTGACAGGTAGAAAGTCATGCTAACTACTTCCATGTTAACATCCATAATCATGATGCATTCAACTTGAAACCTTATCATATTTGCTTATTGCTTTCACTTTTAAATGAGACAGGTGTCAAAAAGGAAACATGGACTTTTTGCAGGCCTGTTTTCTGTTCCTGTTCAGCATTGATTCAAATAAAAACAGAACTCAAATTGCACACATTCCCCATTGTGAAAGCTACATTTCAAAACAAGCTGGTTGCAGTTTAGAGAAGAGACACAGTGATAAAACCCCAAACCTGATGCAACCTACATGTCTGGAAATGTTCACCTTGTGAAAGCAGTGGTGGAAAGTACATTTACTCCATCACAAGTTTGAGGTACTTTTACTTTCTTTTGTATTTTATATGTAAAATGAGAGAAAATAGCCCATCGCAACATCATTTGTTCACCATTATTTTCATTGTTATTACAATATATATTAAAAATGATAAACAAGATAATCCCCACATATTAACTCAATTTTATGATTTTTTTTTAAGCGTAAATGCAATCGCCATAAGTTAATAACTAATGTAAGGCTATTCTCGTCACTATCGCTAAGCTAGAGGTTGACTGTGTTTGACGTGATTATGTTTTATAATTTAAGCTACCAATTTAAGACACATAGAAAATGTGGGCATTCATGAGTGGCGTATTTTATGTTATAGTAGAAAACGGGAAAAGATATTGAGCTTGTGGTTATTTCAGGCTTCTAACGGTTCTTAAAACCGCTGACTTCAACACGAGGGAATTTAAAGTGGTAAAATGCCAACTCATTATCAGGTTTTAGGATGCATTCCTGCACCACTCTTTTGAGATTTCTATATAAATGATACTGTTGCAACCCTAGTCAATGACACTATTTCATAAAGTCTAAAACTGATAATGCAGTCTTGAGTTTCTGCTGATAACGTGTTTTCTTTCAAAGTTAAACCTGTCTATAAGTCTGTCGGTATTATTTAAATTGTACTTGGGACTTATGTTTTATATGTGTGTCTGCAGCTCCACGGTGGTTGATCAGTGAGAAGTCTCCAGAGACCAGGCAGAGCACGCTGTCGGAGTACTGCCACTCGCTCATCAACCTGCCGCCTCACATCTCCCGCAGCAAACAGCTAACCAACTTCTTCAAGGTCCGACCCGAGGACGAGAACCCGCCTGCTCTGAACCCGTCAGTACAACACACACATTACAGAGGATGTGTCACACATGGAAATGTATCACTTCCAAATGTAAAACTCAATCACCCAGTAATTAGTACTAAATTCAATTAAAATGTCCTCTTCAGAGTGAAAAAAAGCGAAACCTTTGTGGTGAACAAGGAGTCGTACAGAGGCAACGTTTCTGGTAAGAGTCATTTTAAATGTAATAAATGCTAAAACATGTCTTTTTGTCGTTGTCTTTCCCAAGGTTATTGAAAGATGTTAGATTTTTATTCTTTTGCATTTACATATTTATTTGTAGCCTACAGGGCTGCCGCTTGTGGATTCATTTTGAAATTGTCCAAATGATTGCCCTTTAAGCATTAGGGTTGTTTAAATACACATTAAACATTTTTATTAAAACAGACAATTATGTGTTTTACCTCTCAGAGATTTCTGGCCCCATCATTTTGGACACCTACAGAGTGATCGCTGACTTCGAGAAGACGTCTAAACATGAGATTAATCTGCACACTGGAGACCTGGTGGAAATCGTGGAGAAAAATCCAAATGGTGAGAATGCTAAAACAACCGCAGCCAAACTTCCCTAAACAAAACAGACCTCCCAAAACGTTATGACAATACTAATTATTGGGTATGACTCACTTTTAACCTCATTCATTCAATTGTTCAAGGAAGAGCTGAACAAGTTGACTTCTAATTCATGATACTCTTTGATTAAGAATTAGAGGATTTTGACTATTGAAGCATGAAACGTCAGGTTTTAGGCCCTAAAACAATCTTTTCCCACACATTTTCACTTTGAATGATGGGATCTTTCTGATACCATGGTTTGAACCGCTGTGTCTGTTAAGAGGTCAACTCAAAATTCCTCTTTCTTTTTGTGTCAACTGAGTAAAGACACTCCGTTTATTATTCAATAATGTTTACGTTATGTTTATCTTTAATGAATGAGGCCAGGTTTTAAGCTGCTCTTGTGTTTAGGGTGGTGGTTCTGCCAGTGTGAGTCTAATCGAGGCTGGATCCCTGCGTCTTACCTGGAGCCGCTGGACGGACCGGATGAAGCAGAGGAGGCTGATCCGGACTATGAAGGCAACTTGTGTTCCTTGTATTCTTCATTAAATAATGTAATTTCAGTATGTGTGTCATTTTAACTGTGCTGTGTGTCCCTGCAGGAGAGATGCACGTCAGCATCAGAGCCTACAAGGCAGAGCTGGAGGACGAGATCTCTCTGGAGAGCGGGGAAACCGTCGCCGTCATCCACAAACTGCTGGACGGCTGGTGGGTCGTCAGGTATGGTCTACACAAACTGACATTTATGTGGATATATTCATAATATTTTTATAATAACAAAATCAAATCTCCCCAAGGAGGAACAGAAGGACTTCAGCTATTATGTAATTATTAATCCTACTGTGGTGCTTATAAATAAATCTGGATATTTTTACAGGAAAGGAGATGAGACCGGACATTTCCCTTCAATATTCCTGCACAAGGCCGGCAAGAGGGAGATATATGAAGCACAGCGGACAAACCTGCAGGGACAGAAACCTCCCCCCCGCAGGTACGGCAGTGAACGCAAAATATAGAGTTGTCTTATTTTAATCTCCACTCTTCAAAAGATTGATTGTTTTCTATTTAACAAATCACTTTTCCATATTAATACGTTGTAACTGCAAATTTGTAAGGTAACTAAAGCTGTCCAATGAAAATAGTGAATAAAATGCATGTTTTTTTAGCACTCAAATGTTGAAACTGGGAGGAGAAAAACTATCACGAGATCAACACTAGGGCTGCACAATATGGACAAGTGCAATATTATGTTATTATGAGCAGAGTTCTGTTAAACAAAAATCATCAAATGTTCCTTAGGACAAATAGCAAGGACATAGAATGTAGGTCAGTCTTTGAAAAGCCTCAAAGTCTTATATTATATTATTCAATGTTAATAAGAATAACAAAGCTAAATGATAAATTCCCTTGATAATATGAATCATGTTATAATTGCAATATCAGTCAAAATAACATAAATAGTTTTGCCCCCCCCAATAGTTCAGCCCCCATCAACACTCACCACCTTTACTTACCTTTACAAATCTCTGTGGCATTTTCCGTCTCAGATCCACCATCAGAAATGCGAAGAGCATCCACAACAAGTCTCGTCAGCGGCTCAGCCAGGACACTTACCGCAGGAACAGCCGCCGCTACCTCCAGCAGAAAGGGGGCCGCCTGGCAGAGCCCAGCAAGAACTCCAAGACCGCCGCAAAGTCACCGCTGAGGGAGAGGAAGAACCAGGGTAACGTTCATGTTGTGTTCAGATCGATCAAACAAAGCCTGATGTAGACAAGAAATACCTTCACCGGCACCAGTGGTGGAAGGAACTGCTCAGATCATTTACTGAAATAAAAGTACTGATACCATGCTGTTATAATACTCCACTATAGTTATATGTAAAAAAAAAAAACATAAATAAGTATATGAAAAGTATGGGGAAGAAGTAAATACTCAGCTTTTTAAATTATATCTAGTCAACTGTTACAGATATACTAAACTTTATGCATTGAAATCTAAACACCTAAATGAGAATACTGCATCATTAATGTAAATTTTAGTACAATATGTGCTGCCTGAGTTGTAGTGTGGTAGAAGTCAAAGTGACCTAAAAGGGAAATACTTAAGTTAAGTACAAGAACCTCCGATTTTTAAGTAAGTGTACATAGTTAAATTCCACCACTCACTGAAACAATCAACCCACAAAGCCTCTTAACACTTCTAATGATGTTGTTATTTGCTACCAACAGACAACATTCCCGAGCAGTCCACGTCCGGCTCAGAGAGTGAGCTGAAGAAGGATGCTCCGGTTATCCCCCCCCGGCCCAGTCCGGAGCTCATCCTGGAGCGCTGCAGCGACAACACCTGCAAGAGAGTCAGCATCCACAGGTCAAACTCTGGCTCCTCCAAATAGCACCGGAAGTCACTAGATGTTGTGAAATTTACAATGAAATCACTTTTTTTTTGTTGCCTAAGTTTGTGGCAGACAGTTGAAATGCAATCGTAAAACCTAGAGGGAGATGCAGGCGGTCATGGGAAAAGGTTATTGAATTGAGTGGAGAATAAGTCATATTACCTTAAAGTAAATTCTGTAAATTGATGTGGGAGGAAATGTTTTAAAATGTATACTTTTATAACTTTACTATGGTAAAAAAAATCCAGTGAAGTTCGACTGTCATGATGTGCAACAGTGTGGCTCATTGTTTTAATCAGGCTTTGTTACACAAACAATACTTGTATGTTAATCTTTTTCACAGGATTTTTTGTATCTCCAGAGATATCCTTTATGTCACACTGTGCAAGTTTAGAAAAATCTTGACTTTGCTACCATCTGGTTGTCATATCAAGAAGAACAAGGTGGCAGACAGTTGTCTAATTCTAACTTTGCTGCTTCCATTTATTTTACAACCCTCAAGTTGACTGATAAAATGTGTCGGACTATTCATTTAAGACCAGATCATTAAAAAAAACTGAATTTAATATCTCCAGAAAAAGTGTAATCATTAAGTCTTGGTTTAATACAACTAAATAAGACCACAATTTGCGAAGCTCTTATTTTCTCTTCCATCGTGGCCGCTTCAAGCTTCTGCACACAGCTTAATGTCTTGACAGTAAACCAAAAATGACCGCGCTTGTTAAGCTTTACCTGGCTGCTATGATTCACATTCGCACTGCAAGAAAAAATAGCTATGAATAAGATACATGTCTAGAAAAAGCTGAATTTGTTTGGTTGCTGTGTTATAAAAGTATTTCTACTGATTATAATGATATGTTCTGTTTGTGACCTGTGAAGAATATTTTTGATCTATCTCCCAGCATCTATAAAGCTATCTTGTTATTTATTTGCTGAATAAATGTATATAAAAAACAAAACATTTGTCCCTTTCTTTTAGGTCAGTCTTTAAAAAGCCTCAAAGTCAACAACCTGCAGCATTATTTAGAAATGAGGCTTTGGTCTTCTCACTCTGTTTGGCAGATCATACAATTAAGTCAGTGGTGAAAACATTATTGAGATTATTTACTTAAGTTAAAGCAGCAACTCCCCATTACAAGTGAGGTTCGGTATTCAACACCTTACTGAAGCAAACGTGCATAACAGTAACATCAAAAGTAAGATTAACTATTGTGCAGAAAAATGGTCTGTCTGTTTTGGTTTTTACCCTATACAGTCTATGGTTTTTACACAGTTTATTTATATTTAAAAGTTGGAGGATTTACTCAACAATAAAGGATCACTTGATCGTTCAATTTATCAGGAAAAATAAAGGATACAGTGTCACATATACTGTATATACAGAGACACAGAAAAAAGATAATTTACAAGTCAAGGCCAAAACCAAAAAGTGTTTTAACACTCCGGCACAGTAGATGGAGTCATGCACTTTAACGAAACGTTGATCTGTAGTCTGCCAGTAAAACCAACGAAGAAGAGGATACACCCGTGTTGTTTGTAAATAAGGTTTGACCAACGGTAACTGTGACGACTTTGTACGACACCGATACATATTTAATATTGTATGGTTAAATAGTTGTGGAAAGATAAATATACTTTTCCATTTATCTGACATTACTTATTCATCTGCGTCAGTTAAGACATTGATGCTAATAAGGGTAGGAAGAAGTTAGTTAGCCAACAAGCTAACATGACATATTTCGATAACTAGTTGACATACATACGATGGAAGATAACTCGTCTTGTTCCTCGGCTGGCACTGCTCTTTCTGAAGCGTCTTTCCTCCAGAGGACGTTGGAGCGGCTTTCCTCCACACAATGTCTGAAAGTGAGCACCGAGGCTCCGGTGGCTGTCATCGCGCTGCAGCGGTACTTATCCGATCAGCCTGAGGCGCAGCCCGACAGCTACGACGTGACGGTCACTGACGGAGTGTGGCGGGCCAAATGCTCTGTTCACCCTGCTTTAAATCACCTGGTGCACTCTAACACCCTGAGGACTGGAACTGACGTGAGCATCACACAGTGCTCGTTTGTTTACAGCGAGAGGAGACTGGGACACGGTTACATTTGTATTGAAAAGCTCCGGTGTGGAGGAGAGAGGTCTGCCCTCCTTCCCCGCATACAGGACGTCGCTTCTCTGCCGATGCTGGTAAAGCAAGGCATGGAGAGGAGTGTGGAGCTGCAAAGTGATGTTCCCCTCCAGGTGAGCCGCAAACATTACCTGTCTCTGTGGAACAACGAGGACCCAGAGGGGGACATCTGGACCTCAGGGTCTCCCTCATCGCACACAGTGCTGGATGGTGAGACTTTCTGATGACCCCCTGTCATACACTGCTCTATTTACAACATGGCTTACATTTGTATACACCACTAAGGGCTGGACGAAAATGATCAATGGAAATGTCACTACAAATATTTGAGCATTCAGAATATGTTTTGTCTGACCAATAGTCAAATACACAGGATCGTTTGACTTTGTTATAATGTAAATCAAGATGTGATGTCTGCAATGTCTTCTTTTCAACAGTTTCCAATATTACTCTTTTTAGTAGTCTGGAGTCATGCTTTAGAAACACATGGAAACCTCTGCCTCTCCTAGTGAAGATCATACACAAATCCAGATTAAGGTACTATGGCAAGTTTGGGCTCAAGATTGATTATCCCTTCCAGGTGAGTTTGAACTAATTGAGCTTTAGTAACACGATTATGAACAGGATCTCACTATCATGCTGTGACAGATTGGGTCTTTGTCATATTTCAGGCATACTTTGAAGTTGCTGACCAGAGTGGCACGATGTCCCTCGTGCTTTGGAATGAACTTTGTCCAGAGTTCTACCAGAAACTGAGCGTAGGCACTGTGTTGTACATCCAAAATTACTCCCTAAAGCAGAGTTATTCAAACCGCTCACACCCGCAAATGGACCATCACCAAATGAAGACCTTTCACTCTGTAGGTATGTACACATTTATTCTGACAGGGTGGGTACTCCAGAGTACAGCACAAGCATAAATGTCATATCTTTATTTGTATTTTCCCAAGAAATCTGCCTGAACGCTCGCAACCCGACTTCAGTCGTCACTGTGGTCTCAGCAAAGAGCGTGCTGCCTCAGTGGGGATTACCTGAGGTTTCCTACCTGTTCACCACCAGGTGATTCACTTCTCAATCTAAAGTGTAACATTACATTACATGTTAGACGCTTTTATCCAAAGCGACTTACATACTCAATACTGTGGACAATTCCCACAGGAGCAATTTTGGGGTGAAGTGTCTTTCATTGAAAAAATATGAATTCTGATATTGTCTGAGTTTAAAGGTGCACCTTTTTATGAGAAACGACCCACACATTTAAACCCACCTACAAATAGAAAGGTTAATTCAGTCATACATTGGTGAGAAAAAGCATTGAAAATTGTCGTTTTTGTCAAGGAACTACATCGATTCTCTTTGCTTCAACACAAGGTTTAATATAAAACAAATGTCTCTCATAGATTGTGGGCTTTTTTTGCCAACTATAGCTTAAAGTGAACCTATCATGCTATATTTGAATAATATATTGTAGGGCCATACCTATATAAAACATGTCTGCAATGTATTTTTTTCAAAATACCAAACAGATCATGCATTTTAGCCATGCCTCATTTCGCTCTATTTGCTCTTTTTTAGCCCTGTTTTTGCAAGGGCTGAATCTGAGAAGTCTTCTTCGCTGCTTTTGTGGCAGACTACAGCGCCACCTACAGGCCTGGCATATGTACTACAGTGTCTCCAGCGCTTTCGAACGGCAATGGCCGTGGCTCTCTCCTCCTGATAGGTGGAGAGTTGCCCATATAGGTGGAGCTCCTCGTTTCTGACATCAGAGATATTTCAAATCTGTATCAGTCTGTATCAGATCCGGGCGTTTTTTAGAGATTTGGGTATGGAGGAAAAGAGAGAGGGTTGTGTTTTCTGACACTTGGTGAGTTCTCTGACACACCGGGGACACATTCATGTATAAAAGACGTACAAAAGTGCATTTTGCATTATAGGTCCCCTTTAACTTAAACCTCGTCGTATGTATCCTACAGATTACAGTTGGACGAATTATCCAACAATTCTGCTTGTGATGTCATCTGTTTGGTGATATTTGTTGGTCGTGTTGAAAGAGTAAAGAGCAAAGGGAAAAAGGGTAAGACGACATGTTCTATCTATAAATTGGAATTCATTTACTTTTACTACTTGTCTACTTTCACTTTTAACGATTGTTCAATCTCACAGTTCACTTCGGTAAACTGAATGAACCTGTTTATTGCTGAACTTCTAAAGGCCAACCGCTTCTCTTTTTTTGGAGTCCTATTTTCCTGCCAGGCCTACTAGGCAGTGGCGATACCTAGGTCGCTATACAGTCTTCGAAAAGACTGGATACCATGGTTTTTTTTTTACAAAGGTTACTAAGTG